CTCCAGGTCGCAGGTCAGCACCTGCAGCTGGTGCCGGTAGTCGTTGGCCTCGTGCTTGGCCCGGCGGAGCAGCTCCGCGTTGCGGGCCGCGGCGTCCGTCAGGTCCGCAAACTAGATGGGGAAGAAGGCCCTAAGCTCAAGGGCGGGTGGCAGCCGCAGATGGGGAGCTGTGTGGGCCCTGGGAAGGCACGGTCTCTGGGAAATCAGGGAGCTGGGCAGGACCTCAGGGCTGTGGTTTCGGTCGCCCCAAGACACTGGCCCTGGGTGGGATTATTCCCAGAGGCTGTGACCCATGGGTAGCAGACACAGAAGCCACTGCTGCGTCTTCAGCACCTAGCACGATGCCTGGTCTCGGAATGAATGAATGAATGAATGAATGAATGAGCAGGATTGCCACAGAACCCAGAATCTCCTGCACTGGCACCTCCATCTACAGGCCTGAACCCTGTTTCCCCCACCTGGACAGTAATGGGTTCTAATAGCCCTCCCTCCCCCAGCTGGCAGTGAAACCCTCGGGGCTCCATCAGGCCGCAGTCTGCTCAGAACCATCATTGGCTTCTGCCACTCACACTCCTCAGCTCTGTGCCCTGGGCCAGCATCTCCGGGCCCCACCTCTCTGTGCCCTTCTGCCTCCAGGCCTCTACACATGCTCTGTCCTGCACTCGGAATGCCCCTTCCCTCTTCTCTTCATGGCCTGCCGGTCCTGCTTAGGCCAACTGCCCTCCCTTCTATGATACCCTCCCTGGTCCCCACATTGTATATAGACTCTGCCCTGCAGTGTTGTCCATAAGACACCATACTTGGGTGCACATCACATCTTCCTGGCCAGACATGTCTCTGTAGCCTGGGCAGTGCCTGGCATGCAGCAAATGCGCAATAATCCAAGACACAGATGACAGAGGCATCAAGAATGCAGGCTCCCAAGTGAGCTGGCTAGGGTTGGAAACCTAGCTCTACCGCTTTGAAGCTGTGGACTTTGGACAAATTAGTTAACCTTTCTGGACTTCAGTTTTCTCATCTATCAAAGAACAGTACCTACTTCATAGTAAGATAATCTATGCAAAGCACAAGGCCTGACACACAACAGTGTTGTCAAATAATAATAGTAATAGTAGCAATAAGTTCTTATTAGAAGTAATATTGCCTGTGTGTCTTTGGGCAAGTCACCTCACTTGTCTGGTGAATGTCAGTCACCCAGAGAGGATCCTCTCCCAGCTTCCCTGAGTGTCTTGTATGGAGCCAGGAGGGCTGCCTGGAGGAGGCAGGCTGGCCCACAATCAGGGTTACCTTGGACCGGTACCACTCCTCTGCCTCGTGCATGTTGCTGGATGCCACTGCCTCATACTGGGTGCGGATCTCTCTCAGGGCCGCTGTGAGGTCTGGCTTGGCCACATCCAGCTCCACATGGACCTGCTGCCGGGCCAGCTGCCCCTGGAGCTCCCGCACCTCCTGACCAGGTGAGAGAAGGGATAGCAGGGCTCAGAGCCCAGGCCGCAGTTGGGGTTTTCTGACTGCCCTCTTCTGCCTGCCTGTCGGACATCGATGATGGCTAAGGGAAATGGGACAGCCCTAGTTGGAGAAAGTGCATGGCCCAGGCGAGAGGAGGCAGGGGGGTTTGGGGGCCTCATGGTGTCTTCTCCCCAGGCCTGGACAGGCAGGAGACGGAAAGTGTACCCGTGTCATTATGAGAGAGTGTTTGAGTTCCTGTGCGTGTGTGCCCGCGGGCTCCCAGGTTCCATGGGGTCATGGATGCTGAATCCATGATCTGAGGTCAGAGCTAATTGGGATCCTTTTCGTTATGAATGGTTCTCGGTTAAATGGAGACAGATGGCAGAATGAATGGAGTCAGAGAGACTGTGTGAGTTTAGCAAGTGCTCTAACCTCTTTGGGCTTCAATGTCCCCTGTGAAAAGGAGATTATACTGAAAGGTCCCTCCTACAGGGCTATAGTGGAGAAAAAGAGGTCCCAAAACTTTTGTAATTCTCAATAAGTGGAGTGTGTATCTGTGTGCATTTTACCAGGGGCTGTTGATGCTCTCTTGTCTGTATTTCTGTCTTCCTCAATTTCTCTCTTTGTTTTTAATCCCCCCCCCCTTCCAATCTCTCTGTTGGGCTTTACCTCATCATGGATCTTCCTCAAGAACTGGATTTCCTCCTCCAGAGACTCAATCTTCCTCTCCAGATCCAGACGGGCCAGGGTGGCTTCATCTGCCTCCTAAAGTAGGGAGGAGGCAAAGGGCCACTCTGACCCCAGACTCTTTCTCCCCATTCCCTGGCCTTGTCTGTCCCCCCCACCCACTTCGGGGGCTGGGAGAGCAGCACATTGCTCAGGAGGGCTGGTGGGGGCCCGTGTTTGGATGGGCTGCCATCAACCCTTTCCCCCCTCCTGCGCCCCACCCCTCTACCCCCCTGACCTGTCGATAGGCAGCCAGGTTGTTCTCGGCCTCCAGCCTCAGGTTGGTTTCATCCTGGAGCCTGGGGTAGGGGGACACACTCCTGGGTCCATGCTCTTCTGAGGGCTCTTGGACCCCTGCCCCAATCTCCCTGGAGGTGGCTGCCAGAGAGCACCCCCCAATCCAGGACTAGTGGAGGGGCCAAAGGAGAGCCTTGGCCAGGAAAGTGAACAGCTGAAGGCCTTGGCTGTAACTCATTACTAAGGTGCCTTATCAGGGTTGCTGCACCTGCTCCTGCTCACACAGGCGCTTCCACCATCACACACTCACTGCTACTGGCACACACACACGTCCTCCTGCACTTGAGGGCACACACACATGCCCAGCTGGCTCAGCAAAGCACCAAGCCCCTGGGGTTCCCCCTGGCCTTTGGAAATGGGTGTTATTAAGATCTCTGCTTCACAGCTGTGCAAGTTGAAGCCGTGCCTAGGATCATAAGCTGGTGACAGACCAAGTCACCTGTGCTCTGAAGCCAGGCTTTCCTGCTCTTTCCCCCCCCTCCCTTTACCCCCAGGCCCAGTCCTCCTGGGGCACACCAACCTTCCCTTCCATGTTCTCCTCTCTGTGCACCCGGGCTCAGAATAGGTGCGCTTCCCGCCCACCGTCACAGGGCCCCAGAGTGAATGAAACACACAACTGCTGGGGCCCCTGACTGCTCTAGCACAGACTTCCCCAGGGGGCAGGTGCTGAGCGTGCCCTTTTTCCTGGCAGAAGGTCTTGGGGAACCAAATCCCCGAGGCCCTGAGCCTTCTCCCAGTCCCTGCCATCATTTGGGGGAGCAAGGACGGCCCTCCCTTTCCAGAGCAGGGAGGCAGAGCCCCGGCTTGAGTCTCCGCAGGTCTGCGGGCACTGCCTCCTGGGGGCTCAGTCCTCCCTGCTCATGAGGCCCCTCTCCCAGCCCCCCTCCTCACTTCTGCCTCAGGGTGCCCAGGTCCTGCGCCAGATTGTCCCTCTCGACCTCGAGCCGGGCGCAGTTGGCGGTGAGGTGATCGAGCCGCAGGCGCAGCTCGCGCAGCTCAGCCTGGTAGACGTCAGCCAGCTTGGTGGGCTCCTTGGCCCGCAGCTGGTTCAGCTCCGCAGCCAGTGCCTTGTTCTGCTGTTCCAGGAAGCGCACCTTCTCGATGTAACTGGCGAAGCGGTCATTGAGCTCCATCATCTCTGCCCGCTCACTGGCCCGTGTCTCCTTGAAGCCGGTGTTGAGTGCCCCGGCCAAGGAGAAGTCCACCCGGGCCGGGAGTGGGGGTGGCATTCGAGCCAGGGAGAAGCGGGTGCCTGGAACCAAGCGGTGGCTGGGAGTCAGGCCCCCCATCACCATCTCCGAGGAGGAAACATAGGAGCGGCGGGCAGCTGAGGTGACCCGTCTCCTCTCCATCCTGGCCTGGCTCTGCGGGCTCCTAGGACGCGAGGGCTTTATGAAGGAAGGGGCTGTCTTGACACAGCCCAGATTGTCCCTGGCAACACCCCCTGGCATAGCCTGAGGAGGTGGGGCTGGGTTGCAGCCCAGCCATGGGGAGAGTTCTCACCCCACTGAGGTCATTGTGCCCAGAGGCAGGGCCTCCTGGGCATGCCAGCCCCAGCCTGGCCACAGTCAGAGGTACTAGTGGGCACTGCCTGGGGCCAGATGGTGGGTCTGAGGCCCAATCACTGGGCAAGGAGACCCTCTCTCTAGGAAGGTGGGTTAAGAAAAGGCTGGACCGCCCTAACCGGTTTGGCTCAGTGGATAGAGCATCGGCCTGCGGACTGAAGGGTCCCAGGTTCGATTCCGGTCAAGGGCATGTACCTTGGTTGCGGGCACATCCCCAGTGGGAGGTGTGCAGGAGGCAGCTGATGGATGTTTCTCTCTTGTCGATGTTTCTAACTCTCTATTCCTCTCCCTTCCTCTCTGTAAAAAATCAATAGAATATATTTTTAAAAAGCAGAAATTTAATTAAAAAGAAAAGAAAAGGCTGGACCAGGTGACCTTTGACCTGACTTCTAACTCTTAGATCCCATAACCCAGGCCTTCCCTCACTCAGCACTGCTCCTTCGAGTGCCTGATAGGTGCTGAGAATTTGACAAAGAACAAACCTGTCCCATATGCTTAAGGAACAGTCTGTGTTACAGTTTCTTGCCAAGCCAATTCCCAAGAGATTGCTGGAGTCCATTCCTCTGAATACAGGCATCCCGCATTCCTGCTTTCTTCCCACTCCCTGGAGTTCTGGGGCTGTGGACTGAAATTGATCACCGGCCTTTTGTCTGGAGCAGCGATCACCAACGGGTAGTCTGCGGACCACTAGTGGTGCGTGAGGTCCAAAAGGTTGGTGACCGCTGGTCTGGAGGGTCCATTGAGGCCTCTCTCTAGCAGTGGGGGATGATGAGAGGAACTTGGGGGTCCTGATAGGGCAAGAGGGGGCAGGCACTGCACTCTCTGGCCCTTTCCCTGCCCCAGTCTCACAGGGCTCACCCTTCCGTGCCCAGCTTCCCTGCACCCCCTCCCAGAGCCCAGGCCTTGACAGCTCCACAAAGCAGTTATGAATGAGCTGGCTGTCCCTACTCCCATCTTTGTTCCTGTAATACCCTGTTTCCCTGGCCACCCCTCACCTCACTCTCACACTGGAGATTTATCTCCTTCGAGTTCCCACACATCAGGTTGAGAAGACGGGGAAAGGCCTCTAGGGGTAGGTGAGTTTGGGAACCCATGAGCCACTGCTTCCGAACTGGGAACCTGGGCCTGGGCCTGGGCCCTGTTGCCCCTTGAGACTTCAAATCCATCTACCCCTTTTACTCTGGTCCTGCAGGGTCAGCACCCCACCCAGGACCCCCATCCATCCGTGTCCTTGGACTTCTGGGAAGTGGGCAGCCTTCTTCCCACCCCCACTCTGCCTGCTGCCCACGCCTGGGCCTCTGATCCCTTTTGCTGGGCACTTGCTGAATGGAGCCTTGTTCTCCGCCGCCGGTGAGGGCGCCGCGCAGAGAGGGCAGCCCGCGGGGGGCTGTGCTGCTTTTATCCCAGGATGCCAGGCTGTTAGGCAGTGTGCAGCCCAAGCCCCCTGCTCAAAGAGCTTCTCGGAAAGCATCTGACGGGGCTGGAGTGGAGCGGGAAGCAGGCTCTGTGCCCACCCCTGACCATTGTGTCTGTGCCAAGGTGAGTCATTCAGTGGGCACGAGGGGAAGGCCCTGGGGTGGCCAACCCAGCACGGCCAGGTCTCCAGCTCTGCAGACAAGGCCTGGCTGCTCACCCCCTCCCCAGCTCTTAGAGGCCCCGAAGCTGGGACTCACAGGGGGAACCCAGCATGCAGCCCATGACGTGCCCACGTGAAAAGCATCTTCCCCAGCATCCTCTGTGTGAGTCCCAGCACAGAGAGAGGAGGTAAGAGTCCCTAAGTCTTAGCCACAGCTGACCCCAGGGCTTGAGCAGTTTCATGGCGAGGGAATCCCGAAGGGGGTGCTAGTGACTTTTGACCTTGTCGTGGGTGGAGGAGCTGGGGAAGGACAGGGCTCCTTAATGGAAGAGCAAGACTGGGGACAAAACCTTGTCCCCACTCTCCTCTCTGTAGCTAGGAGCGGCTGCGTTTCCAGCTTGCTGGGCAAGGCACAGTGTACAGCCTCCTCTTCTTGTGCAAGTGAAATCTAGTTGAAATGAGCACCGAGCAGTCCTAAAGGGAAAAGGCCTAACAAGGGCAGGAAGTGCTCGTCAGTGTCGCCCAGTGAATCCTACCTGTGTGTGGAGAGCGGCTACAGTGTTTGGACAGGTTCAAGCCTTGGACTAGTGGTTCTCAACCTTCTGGCCCTTTAAATACAGTTCCTCATGTTGTGACCCAACCACAAAATTATCATAACTGTAATGTTGCTACTGTTCTGAACCGTCATGTAAATATCTGATATGCGGGATGGTCTTAGGCGACCCCTGTGAAAGGGTCATTCGACCGCCAAAGGGGTCGCGACCCACAGGTTGAGAACCGCTGGAAGGCACGGTCCTCTCATGGCCACGTGCAAGTCCCTGCTTGGAGGGACCTATGGTTCGAACCTGTGGTCCCACGTGGCTGAGTGATATGGGCTGCAGGAGGTGCAGCAAGTAAACAAAGCTTGATCAGGTGCATGTAATTGAGTAGATTCGAAACCCGCGAGAACATTGTGAACATCTCAACCGTGCCCTTACTTTGCCTCATGGAATCTGGCTATAAAATAAAGACTCGGCGTGCAGGCTGTGGTGCTGTCTCCTTGGAGGGACCTATGGTTCGAACCTGTGGTCCCACGTGGCTGAGTGATATGGGCTGCAGGAGGTGCAGCAAGTAAACAAAGCTTGATCAGGTGCATGTAATTGAGTAGATTCGAAACCCGCAAGAACATTGTAAACATCTCAACTGTGCCCTTACTTTGCCTCTTGGAATCTGGCTATAAAATAAAGACTCGGCGTGCAGGCTGTGTTGCTGTCACCTCATTAGAGTGGGCCGCGTCCCCCTAGCCCCCGGGTGGGCAAACTTTTTGACTCGAGGGCCACAATGGGTTCTTAAACTGGACCGGAAGGCCGGAACAAAAGCATGGATGGAGTGTTTGTGTGAACTAATATAAATTCAAAGGAAACATCATTACATAAAAGGGTACGGTCTTTTTTTTTTTTTTTAGTTTTATTCATTTCAAACGGGCCGTAGTTTGCCCACGGCTGCCCTAGCCCCAGCTTTATTCTCTTGTCTGTCTTCTCCATCCTTCACCACCCCCTCTCAGGTTCACCCATGGCTGTGCCGGCTCGGCACATACATCATCATTTTAAGAGCTGTATGGTTTTCTTCTATATGCATTAATTTAACCAAGTCCTATTGTTAGACAGTTGTGTTGTCTCTCTTCCCCCCTCCCCCCTCTCTCCACTATGATGCACATCTGCCCCAGGCAGAAACAGCTCCCAGCCTCCACTGCTACTTGCATCCTCCTGGACTGGCTCAGGTCCCATCTACATGGTGTTTCCTCTCCTGCTTCACCAACCTGAGGGCCTCAACATCTAAAGCCTCAGGCCAATCGCTAGACCAACTTCTTCACTAGGCAGCAGAAAGTGTGGGCCACGGGGAGAGGGTGCCCGAAGACCCCTCCACAGGGCCTTCAGCCAAGCCATGCCCCACTTCAGGTTGAAGTAGATGTAAGATGACCTTCTACCCCTGCACCCCCACCCGTGTCATCAATCTGTCAAGATGCCCACCTGCCTACAGGGCCCACATGTCTCGCAGGACAGGCCAACACTACACCTGGCCTCAACCCACACACAGGCGCCCAGTGTTTTCCTGATTTGCCAACCTCTAATTCAAGTGGCTGCTTTGCCACTAGACTGCCGCCCACTGGCTCCGCTGGAGCCCCTGCCGCTCTCCCAGCACCCGCACAGCATGGTGGGCAGCAAGTGTAGGTGGGATGAAGAGAACGTGGATCTCTCTGGCTGACTCCTTGTGCACCACTCGGTGTGTCCATTCCCTGACCCATCTCTGAGGAAGGGAACTGGGCTCTGGTGGCCACTAGATGGCAGTGCTCAGCTTACCAGGTCTGGAGGCAGAGAAAGCTGGGCTCACCCAGAGGCATCACCCCCTTTTTTCCGAGTTGCCTCTGACTGCTGCGGCAATGCCCTCTAGGGAAGAGCAGGGCTGTGGCTACTCAATAGCTGTGTGATCTTGACTTAAGGTCCCGTCTCTGAGTCTCCACTTCCACATCTGCAACATGGGACTAGCCATACTCACTGCCAAGGTAGTTGTGAGGATAAAATCAGTGAAAGCCGGAGGATGCAGCAGGTGCTTGATAAATCACAGCTCCCATTTAATAACACCTACTAGGTCAGTGGTCGGCAAACTGCGGCTCGCGAGCCACATGCGGCTCTTTGGCCCCTGGAGTGTGGCTCTTCCACAAAATACCACGTGCGGGCGCGCACCTACAGTGCGATTGAAACTTCGTGGCCCATGCGCAGAAGTCGGTATTTTGTGGAAGAGCCACACTCAAGGGGCCAAAGAGCCACATGTGGCTCGCGAGCCGCAGTTTGCCGACCGCTGTGGTGATTTATATATCTACATGTTAGCACATGTGCGATGGGGTGGGCCCAGATTGGAAGCTGGGTCCACCGGGGGGAGGGGCTGCCATGTCCTGTTCACCTCATGTTGGTGGAGCAGGGACAGTGTGTCCCCACCCCCAACACAGGCAGTTAGTTGGCGGTGTGGACAGGACGCAGGTGGCAGCAGCCAGGGAGGACAGGGTGGGAGTCAGCACCGTTCGCCCTGGCTTTGGGTTTGCCGGGGGACACGTGTCAGCTATCTCCAACTGCCCAGGAGGAACTCAGAGCAGAGGCTGTCTCCCAGTCTTTCTGGCCTCCCTGACTCCTCCATCCTTGCCCTTCCCCAGCCCAACTCCATCCTGGCGTGGGGTTCCTCTGTACCTCAGCCTGCTTCCTAAGGAGAA